GCGGGCGCGGCGGACCAGGATGGATTTCCAGCAGCTGGCTGACGTTGCGGAGAAATGGTGCTCCAACACGCCCTTCGAGCTCATCGCCACCGAGGAGACAGAGCGCAGGATGGATTTCTACGCCGACCCCGGCGTTTCCTTCTACGTGCTGTGTCCGGACAACGGCTGCGGGGACAATTTTGTGAGTGCCTAGGGGAGGGACCGCTGCAGCGCACGGGAGTGTGAATGTGCGGCCGTTTCTCTGCACCCGAGCTCCCACAAGCTGGGAAGGCTGTGGGGCGCGAGGTTGGGGGTGGGGGGCGTAACCCGCTGCTCGGACCTCTGCCAGGGAAGTACCCCCGCCCGGAGTGGCGGTATCTGCGCTCTGGGTGGGACCGGGTGAGCGGCAGGCAGGGGGCCTCTTAGGATGCTAGGAGCTGGGCTGCAGCTGGTGCGCGGTGCTCGGCTTGGAGCATCTCCTGGGGTGTTTCCGCGTGGTACCAGTTCGGGCCGGGGTAAGTGACCCTTTCCCGGGTCCTGAATCCGGAACCTGGAGCTTCCCACACCCAGGCGTCCCGTCCGATCGAGGAATCCCATTCCCTTCCCAAAGCACGGACAACTCCTTGAGTTGTCCCCGCCCGAAAGAACCTCCGCCCCCAGCGTTATTCCCTGTGCCGCCTGTTTGGACACAAAGCCTCTGTCCATACTAGCGACACCCCATCTCTGGACCTTCTTTGCGGAATCACACCCCGCATTTTGAAAATGAACGCACGCGCGTGCGCGCGCGCACACACGTATACACACACACACAATCACACAGGCACGCCTATCCCCCTTTTCTCCGGTGCTTCCATTGCTCCTCTGTGAGCAGCGAAAAGGGTCTGTGGGGCCCAGGAGGGTTCTGTCCGGCCGAGGTAGTGGCTGCAGCCCTGCCAAAGCCCATAGATTCTTCCAGATGGGGGGGGGGGACACCCCCTTCCCCAAACACACACCCAAACCAAACCACCCCACCCTACCCCATGCCCAGCTTTCCGAGTACCCAGACCTGGAACTGCGGGGTCCAAATCTTCGACTTTGCGTCCTACGCCCGCTTGGGATCTTGGAGCTAGCAATTTAGGAAAGAGGTGTGGGGGGGCAGGGGAGTAGTGATGGGAGGTGTGGATCGCGCTCTGTGAACTGTTTGTAAGAACGGGGAAAATATAATGGTCCCCAATGTAAGATGGAGGCGACTGTGAGCTCGGGTTACTGTGTGGTCGCTGGCTAGAGCCTGGAGCTGGCGCTGCCACCATCCCTGCGGACTGAGGTGGGGCGGCACCCATGCGCCACTTGGCGCTGGCTCCTCAGGTGGGGATGAGGCAAAGCTGGGTTCACTCCCACCATGTGCGCCCCTGCCACCCACTGGAAGTTCGAAAGGACGGAAGGACTGCAAGATCGCCTTTCTTAGCCCAGGAGAGGTGAAATCTTGTGAATGACTTGTCCCTCCCATCAGTTCCACTCCATCCCAAAGAGGACAAGAACCTTCCTGGGTCCCATCCATTCACTCTTTAGAACACAGATGACCTTGACAGCCAAATCTGAGTTCTGGCTGTGAGAGTGATCAAGTCCCTTCCCCATTACTCAGTTTACACATCCCTTAAATGGGTACAATACCAACACTAACCTCTGTGGGGGTAAAAGCACCTAACAGGCCCTGTCCCAGCAAGGACTCCAGAGGTTTCCCAGAGCTTAGAACTTGTCTTTAAAGAAAAAAATCTCCGCTTTGTACCTCTAGGGTTAATCAGAATGTTTCCCTTTGCAGGTATTTAATGGGGAACAAGTAAGCTATAAATATATGTAAGGACACTGTTAACCGTAGTTAAAATAAGTAAATTAGTGTTATTCATTAATAGAAGGAGTGGAGGTTCATTAAAAAGGGATTTGCTCCTTTGTACAAATGTGAGAAGGCCCCAGGGATATAGTGTAAAGGACCTGCTAATGGTAAGATCTTAGAGTCTGATTAGAAGTCTCTTCTCACCCTCACTTCCTTGGGCTGTCCTTGTCCTTTCTTCCTCTTTACTGTGTGAAGCAGTGCAAGAAGAGCCCAGTTTTGAATTTTATGGGGGAGATTCCACATAGCCTGCCTGCTGGAACTGCCAGAGAGCTGCCCAGGGAAAGTATTCTAAGAAGTAGGTGGATGAAATTGCAGAGCTATTCTCTGGCCTTGAATATATAGATCAGATCATCATTCGGAAAGATTATTTATACTGGGACTTTTTCAAATCCACCATATTTTAAATGTTTTCCCACCTGTGTGAGTAAAAAGCTTGAGAAGTGTTCATTTACTGATGTAAAATAAGTAAGGAAGATAGATGAAACAGTAGTTTCTTGGGTATAACTGGAATGTGCTCAAGGTTTCTGGACACTGGAATGGGCACGATACAGCCATCATTTTTTTTTTTTTAAGCTTAAACCTCCCTTTAAAGCTATTCCAGGTTGTGAAGTTACTATTTGCCTCTAGTTCTAAGAACTGAACCATGAAGTAAGTATCCTACCTCTGTTCATTTCCTTTTCCTAGGAAGATCTGTTAAGTGTTACAAGAGATTTGACATGAACAAAGTTCCTACAATCTGCAGGATTTGTTAACAATATTTACTGTTTCTCAATTTACAAAGTATTTTCACATTATTCATTCAACAAACGTGTTAAGGGCTTGCTCTGCAGCAGGCCAGAGCTATCTACAATACAAGTAGGGTATCTTTGCTTCTATTCCACTCATCTAAGAGGTACTATAGAATGGTGGTTAGGAATACAGACTTTGGGGTCAGGCTACTTGGGTTTGCCCCATGTTGCTCCCCATGTGTATTTGCGGGGACGGAAGTTAGTTAATCCCTCTTCACATGATTTTGATGTTGGAAATAATAGTAGTACCTCCCTAGCAGGCATATTTGAGAACAGAACCTAAAAATGGGATGATGATGTTAGAGGCTCTCTGGCAGGCTTGTTTGAGAACAGTGCCTAACTGTACTGTGTCCAGTAGGTGTTAATCTGTCTTATTATCACTGTGTCATTGCTATCCATCTAATTCAAGTCAGCAATCTAAGAGATTTCCTTAGCACCACTCTATTTCCTGCATCCAGTCCATCAAAATTCTGTCAATGCTATCTCTAAAATAGATGCCATACCAACTATTTTTCCACCCCCATGCTATCACAGTAGGTAAAGCCATGTCATTTTTCCTCTTTCTTTCTGCCTTGTCTTTTGCTATGACCCCTGTTTCCATCCCAAACCAGTCTGCATGTAGCAGTTACTCTGGATCTATTTAAAATACCCAGGTCATATCTCTGTCACACCCCATCTTTCCCAAATTGACTTCCTACCACCTGTTATAGCAAAACTAAGCTCTGACTTCACATCTTCACAAGATCTCCTGCCTCCTTTCTGACCTCATCCTAGACCATTGTTCCACTTTGTTCACTGTCTTCCAGCCCTTGCTCTTCGGATGAGGCCCTTTCTGGTCTTTGGATATGCCAAGCTCATCCCTGCCTCACAGTCTTTTTGCATGTGTTATCCCTTTGCCAAAAATTCTTCTCCCAAGTGTTTGCACACTAGCTTCTTTATGCCAGTCAGGCCAAAGAGACACCTTATTTCACCTCCCTTTTATTCTTATTATGGCACTCTTTAGTTCCTGATGATCCCATGTTTATTTTCTACCTTCTCCACCAGACTATAAGCTCTGTGAGAGCAGAGACCTTGTCTTATTCTCTCTAAGTGTCCCAGCACTTGGAACAGCATCAGACTTGTGATCCATGCTCTTTCCATGGTGGTGAGAATGGATGAGTGGCAGCCTAGTGTAGAGGATATTAAATCTCAAGAAAGACAACTTATAGGAACAATAATAGTACTTGTAACAGCTACCACTATGTACAACTTATTATGTCTCAGACACGGTTTTGAGCATTTTGCATATTTAATCTTAGTAATCTCATAAGGTACTCTCTATAATTACGGAAGAAAACTGAAGCAGAGTGAGGTTTACTTTTATCTACAGCTAATGAATAAGAGGAGCAATCTAACTGTCGCCCAAGCTGAACTCAGCCTCACAGGAATGACAACAAGGGTCTGAGTTCAGACTGTGAGACTCACAAATTCTGAGAGGTGGGTGTTGCTCTCTCCATTTTTATAGGCAAGGAATAGAGGCTAGTGAATTTAAGGGACTCCTCTAGGACTGTTTCACGAAGAAGTTCCAGAACCAGGACTTGAACCCAAGCGGAGGGAGCTGCCATTTCTGTCACGTGAAATGTGCTAGGGGCAGGATCCTGGCTGTAGCCTCAGAAGTCTAGGAGCAAGCGCTTTCTATTTTCCTTTTGCTTTGCAGCTCCTCGGTGCCTTATGCACTCTTTCCCCTCCACACATCACAGGCCATGCTGTCCACACTGTATTTTCCCAAGCTGCTGCCTTCATTCAGGTCCCCTTATGCAGCCCACAAGGTCAAGTCCTGGGATAAAATGAAGCTGCTAAGATTCTGTCTGTGCTGCAAGTGCAGGATCGGGACAGGGAACTGGAACTCGCCTCTCTGTCTACTAGGAAGGTCCGGATTAGTGGGGTATTGGCAGCCGCTAAAGTGCCAGAGACTGAGGGGTACCTAGCAGAGCAGGTGGCAGCACCAGGTCTTGCCCTCCTTGTCCTGGGGCAGGAGAAAGAAGCTCTAAACAAAGGGTTCCACACTGCCCTTCTCTGGTGCCTGGGCACTAGTGACCCCAGGAGGGGAAAGGAAGGACTCCTTTATTGTTCTACCTTTTCTGCCAGCTCTCAAAAACCTCTTTAGATCTAAAATTTTTTATAGTTTAAACCTCATACAAAAAGATAGCAGCACATTAAATAAAAATATTTTACTTATAGAAGACTCTGTTCATGTCTGCCAGTGTGTCTGTATCTCACCCCCATTTTCAAGGGAGGTGTATCTCTTAAGTATGTGATCAAACACTCTTACCAGTTTGTAGAAAGCAAAATATAACTTGTTTAAATGAGATGCATCATTTCAATATTGTGCCCACATGAAAGCACTTTCTTATCTAATTAAAACACTATCTGTTTCCTCTTTGGTTAAATGGTGTTAATCATACAAATGCTACGTTATCATTATGGGCATTAAATGAAGAATACTCATGGACTGTAAAGCTTCCCAGAATGGCTGTGCATTATTCACCTATTAATAGAGTGATTATTTCAGAGAAAAAAAACAGGCCCTTTTTATGTTGACAGAATGGTAATCCTGAGGAGCATAAAAGTAAGTTAACATGAATTCAGTAGATGAGAATAAGCATTTATTGGGCACCTATAGGGAAAAAGCGGCATACAGTCGTCTCCTGTCAGTCAGCACCTGTGAGTATTACTGTTTCTGTGACTTACAGGTGCTGAGCTGGGGCTCAGATGGCAGACATGCATGTCTCTGATGACATCCTGCCTTGGTGCTTGCTCCCCATGTGACCACAGGCAACTAGCTTCACCTCTCTGAATCCACTTTCTTTGCTGGGGTGAAGTAGATCAGTGGCTGATAGAAATCTCAGGTCAGAGGTCTGTCCAGTCATGCTCTTCCCATTGTGGACAGAAATCCAAGGGGCAGCAGAAAAGGGCTTGTAGCTTTCATCCTCTACAGTAGGATGTCAGTTTAGGATTAAATTGCACCAACTTGAAGTGGACTTCCCTGCTACTGAAGACAGCCAAAAACTGACTACCGCAGTGAGAGTGAGGCCCTGGAATCAGATAACTGAGTTCAAGGTGTGTCCTTAACTCTCTGTCACCCCTATCCTGCTGAAGCACCAGCCAGTCAAGCACCATTTCCACTGCTGTTAGAACTCTAGGAGCAGAGAGTGCTCGAAAAATCCTTGCAGGATTGAAATACCTTAGTGATCTCATACCATTTTGGTTAGGCTCAGTGTTCTTTACACTACAGCAAACAGAAAGCACTCTTGTCCTATTTGCAGATGGTGTGGTAGTACTATCTTAAGGTTGGCCGGCTTTGATAATAATAGAACAGAAGGAAGGGAAACAGATGGCATGTTCTAAAATCAAAGTTTCCTCTGAGATCTTCAGCTCCTAACAGACAAAAATCTCTGGGAAGGAGCAGGCTGCTCGTGGCAGAGACAGCAGGGTCATTCTGCAGCCCAGACTGTCCGGCACTTGGCGGTGACTTGAGTCAGTAATGACATGACATTTTTTAAAGCGCTCCCTCACCCCAGATGCATAGTCAAACACATCGTCAAAGTTCTGGTCAGCCTGTGGTTCTCAAAGTGTGGCCTCAGAACCTTCTGGAAGAGAGTCTGCAGGGAGCTAGTTGGAATGCACATTCTGAGCCTCTCCTCGCGTGGAAACGCTGAGGATGGGGCCCAGCAACTGTTTTTATTTAAGCTGCCAGGTAAATGTGATGCATTCTGGAACTTGAGGACCGCTTTCTTCCCTTTCTTTGTGAAGGCTGTCCTTGGCATTTCTCCTATTAAAACAGGCGAGGGCTGTGATCTGGTTTAACCCTACCCTATTGGGAAGTTGTTACATTCTGTACCTAGATTTATATTTGCCAGGCAGCTACATTGTTCACAACCAGAGGTTCTCCGATCTCTGCTATACTTTATTCATGGCCCAAGTGGGTATTTGGTTACACATGCTTAAAATATTTTCCAAGTTGAAGTCATCGAGCATGCCCTGTGGGGCAAATGCTTCGGGTCTTCAGTCCCCATCGGGTCTTTGTATAAGAAAAGACCCCAGATCCTGCTTTCAGGAGAATCCATGCTGCTACCAGGTGTTCTCTGGACCCTACCCTGGTTTGGGAACAAGCCCACTAATTTTCCTGTGAGATAACCATACTGCCCTCCCCACATCGTAGCTTTATGTATGGGCCCTGCTTCTGGGCACTGAGTGTGGGTATTCTTCATAGAACATCTGAAACCCACCCCAGCCAGTGGCCAGATCCTCACACTTCACATTGTCTGTGCTAATCTCATTTGGTTTTATCTTATTTTCCTTCTATTGTTTACCCTTTGTTCTTATTTTACAACTACAGATTTCTTTTTTATTTCATCTCATATGCTATAGGCCTCTGCTAACTGCCTTGATTAATTTTGGAAGGACGTTTCAACAAATAAATCTGAATACTTATTATGAGAAACAATGGAGGTGGAACAATTAGCATTTAATAACGGATACCTCTTAAGTGGCCTTGTGCACCTGGGTCTGTCTGATTCCAAACCCCATGCTCCCTTATGTTGTCACATGGGCAGGGATTCAGCTAAAAGTGTTGTTTTGAACCCACAGAAACAATTAGACCAGGAATCCAGGGTGAGTTGATCAGCCAAATGAAAGAAATTTAGGCAGACTGGACAGAATGCCATTATTGGGCATTAGGTCTTTCTTCTACAAGATATATTCATAAATCAACCACAGCGAAAGTGGAGTAATGAAGTCTTCTCAGGAGGCTAGAGAGGCCCTGGAAACACTTGGCTGAGGAAGCTGTCTGACTGCCAAGCAGTAGGGGTACACTCCAGTTCTGTCACTGTGTCAGTGATACATTTTCCCATTCACTTTGTCATCTAAAGCCCAAATGCACTTTTAAAAAAGGCAGATACACAACTTTTTCATAGGGCTACCTACTTCTGCATGAGTTGACCTGTAAACACAATAGTTTAGAAGGTGGGTTCAATTATACTCAGTTTCTTTTCTATCTCAGGGTTCTATACTCACACATCTAATCAACTTTGGATGGTGAGTCCAGCTCTGAGGGACTTGATCATCTGTGGGTTGGGGAGAGGAGGCTAAATTTAATACCCCCACTCCCACCCCATGAATACCAAGGGATGACCATAGCAAAATTGAGGCGGGGAGAGCCAAAAGCTATACTCAAATTTTAGCTCCAACTCTATCCCATGCTGTCCAAGGGTCAACTGTGTAATCCAACATTTGGACGGTATTCTCCATGAAGTCACACTGGGTGTTTGATTTGCTCAGCCTATGACCTTAGCCTTGGGGATGGTGGAAAACCAGATCCCTCAGACCCCAACCTCCTGTGGACGCAAAAGGAAAAGAGGCTACTTATGTTCACTGATTGTTGCACATCCATGTGTGTCAGCCATACACTTAACTAAACTTCCTACTTTCTGTTTAACCTTCACACCAAGTCTAGGAAAGACAGGCTTAACGCTTTCTGTGGTGTGTTCCTAGATGTTAACATTATCTGTAACTTGATCATTTGAAATACACTGGAACTTTAAAAAAATTGAGTTTGAAAGTGGGTACTGAGCAGAACTTTATTAAAGTGGGACTTTATTGTTCTGATTAAAAATCAAATATGAGGGGCCTCCCTGGTGGCACGGCGGGTAAAGCACAGCACTAAGAAACGAAAGCCACTTCTGCATGAGTTCAATTCCCGCCTGCCCCGGAAGTGACAACATGGCACGGCAAACCTTTCCTGACCCAACCACTGCTCCCCTCAGCAGTGTACCTTGACGATCTGCCTGTTCTGCTCCCCACTCTGTCTCTGGTGAATCCTTTCACCCCCCTGCACCTCTGGCCTGTACCCCTGTTCTGAATGCACAAATAAATAAATTTTTAAAAAAAATCAAATATGATAATGGATATAAAAGTACTTTGTTCTATTACATGTTTGTCCAGTCTGAGAGGCTTTTACATAAATGGCACTTCAGCAGCTCAGCCACCTTAAAAGTTTCTAATTAATGGGGAATCATGCTTGAGCTATTCTCTAAGTTAAAGAATCTAGAAGTTATCTTTATTGGGTCCATGCAGAGGCTGCCCTAGAAGTCAGTTGCCTAGGAGCAGCATGTGTGAGAAATGGACCTTTGTGAAACAGATAATTGAGGCATAAAGATGGCACATTAGCACCCTCTTAGTCTCTTCTGGGTGAGCAGTATTTTCAGTTAATAGACTAATTCCTGGAAGTTCTGCAGTGACAATGACAGAAGCAAAATTTGCTTATTGAATGACAGGCATACCGCTTCTGGGCGCGATACTCTAATCACTGTAGAAGGAGGCAAGTGTGCTTGCCAGGAGCTACCCCCCACATAAATCTCTACCCTCCACATAGACCTGTCCCCTGCTGCCTAGGCCAGCTTCCTGCTCTAATCTGCCAAGTGCTTTCTTTTTTCCCTGGTCCCAACAGTTCTCACTATTGTGGAACTGTCACTCGTCAGCCCCTTGAACAGCAAATCTAGACAGATACCCTGATGCTCTCTCCCTGTAGCTCAGTGCCCTTCCCATGCTCACAAATGCAGAGCAGCGGACTTCTGCACATATCTCAAACCTGTTTCACAGGCTTATTCTGGATTTATGGTAGAGACTTGCCTAGTCTCAAAGATGTGCTAAAATAGATATCTTCACATGGAAAAAAAAAAAAAAACCCAAAACCTAAAACCCATCTCTTCTGGGGATGTGTTAACATCGAGGTGTGATATCCTTATAAAGCATTTTAAAGGGAGGTGACCTTGCAGAAAGCCTTGTTTCCCAATGACTTTCTGTGTTCTTGCCTCAGTTCATTTCATCTTGAAGTAAATTTATCATCACCCCACTCACAGGCTAATCTGGGTAAAGAATGGTTTGTTCCAGGTTAGTGGTTACAGGCGATGCTTAATTAATCCTTTAGCCACAGTTGAAGCAAAGTTAAGTCTCATGCAGGCTCTTGGTTTCTCCTTCCTATTATAAAACCTCCTTCCCCCCTGCACCAGAAAGGAACAAGAAATAGGGGTCCCTCTGACCCTTGTACTGTGTGTGAACAGATCTGGTAGGGAATGGAACAGGTGAGAATATGGACCAAGAACATAGGGGTTCTATAGGGTGTGCATTCTCTGATCGCCTTCAGTGCAAACAAATCAGGGATGAACATATGAATTTTACTCTGAAATGGAGGCCTTCAAATTCACATAATTGAAAAAAAAAATCCTGGGCTTTCTGTGCTTCACACTGAGTGTAATACTGTGTGTCTTTGTTTTCTCCTTTTCCTGGCCCGTGGGCACGTAGCACGTGTGGAGTGAGAGCGAGGACTGCCTGCCTTTCTTGCAGCTAGCACAGGATTACATCTCCTCCTGCGGCAAGAAGACGCTCCATGAAGTCTTGGAAAAAGTCTTCAAGTCTTTCCGACCTGTAGGTTCCTGCTTGGCTTCTAAAGACGTCTTGTTTTCTATAGCGATTGTGTTTTGAATAACAGGGATTGTGGGGAAAGTGGGCAAAACCTGGGATGACTAATTGTTTTTCTCTAGTCTGCCCTATTGTGGAGAGATAGCAGCTACTGAAGGGAGGCAGAGGGTGGAAGGGAGGGGCACGGATGTGACACAGCTGCTTGTTGCGGGGATGATGGTTATTTCTAGCATCACTTGAGTTGAGAATCGCTGATAGGGTGGGAAGCACACAGAGCCAGTATGAGACAACTGAATACTCCTGTGCTCACCAGTAGACCTGTTCCAAACCAAAATGTATGGGAGTGTTATGGAGTTCTCTTGTAAAGGGAGCCATATATTTGGCCAAAAGGATGTACCTCCATGTCTGTGGGTACAGGCAATGAGAGATGAGATTGGCATGTCTATTCTTTTCTCTTTTTTATAAACTCTCTTGTAGAGTGCTTGTTTCCTCCTCCTCCCTTAGGAGTGAGGGAGCTGTGTCTGTGGCTAACAGACCAGCTTGTTTTCATTCTTGCCGATAAATGTGTAAAATGAGCATTCACCCTTATTTTGAAGATTACCTATCTTCAGTGGAACTTGTTTTCGAATTTGTATATTTTTTAAATCTAAAAATGGTGTCTGTTTCTCTGCTGAAAATTTCAAACTTGTCATTCATTTCTCTGAGACTCGATGGCCTAACAGGCTGTGTCTGATATTTCAGTAGTTAAAGTTTGTAAATATGTTTTGTTGTCTTTTGTTTGAGCTGATTCTTACTGTGGTATCATGTTTCTTTGTGTGTTAGATTGTCTCTATGTGCTGGCTATTGTATCCGAACATTTAAATACAGGATGGTGCCTTCTGCTTGGGGGTGCTATCAGTTTGAGACCACCTTTGATAATTAAAGGTTTGTGGTCACTGGAATTCTCCAAGTGATAAAAATTCACAGTTGAAGGTCTGATTTCTTCTAGTTCCCTCTTGTCTGGAACTCCTGCTTCGTCCATTCTGATGCTCCAAAAACTTACTGTAGACTAGAAGACTTAGAAACAATGTTTCACCCAGTTCTGGAGCCAGGAAGTATGAGGTCAGGGAGTCTGCAATTTGGTGTCTGGTGAGAGCCCCTGTCCTGGACAGTCATCTTCTCACTATAGTTCACCTGGGAGGAGAAAGAGATAGGAGGTCCTCATTCATTCATTAGGCCGTTATCCTCAGCACCCAGTTGCCTCTCAAAAGCTCTGCCTTTTAATACTGTCACCTCAGGGGTTAGAATTTCAATATATGAATTTGGTTGTAGGGGACACAAATTTTCAGACCATAGCACAGGTATTAGTGTTTTGGGTCTCTGCTTATAGTCAGGATGGCTTTTCAGTCTGATTCTTCGGAAGACCTGAGTTTGACCTTGTTCCCCCTCACTGTTACAGTAGGCCACAAATGCAGTAAAATTTCTAGCTGCTTCCTCTAGGTCAGCTAATACCTTCAGGACAAAAGCAGCTTTTGTGTTAGATTTACTACTGTAGGGCCTAAGTGTTAGTATATTTATAAAGGCAATCTTTTCTTATTTCACTGAGCACTTATAGTTACCATGGAAAGAGTTTGCAATTATTTAATCTACTATTACACAAAATGAAATTCCAGTGACTTTTATCACACTGTCTGATATGTATCATTCATCCAAACAATTCATTTTTTTTTTTTTTGGTTTGTTGATCTTCTAAGCCAGTTTTGTTTATTCAAAGGCGATGTTTGACTTAAAAATACTGTCAGCCCTGCTGCCATTCATTTAATATGTATTTTGCAAGTACCCACTAGGCTTGGCAGTGTTTCCTGCTCTGTTCCTCTTATTTGAGTGAAACAGACAAAAATCTGTGTATGTGTGTGTGTGTAAGTGTGTGTGTGACAAAATAAATCAGTACAGTATATGATGCCTTAGTGGTAAGGAGAAAGGAATAAGCAGGCGTCAGTGTGACCTAAACAGAGTGAGTTGGGGTGGGGGGCTAGTGATAAGTGCAAGGAATTTATGGGCCTTGCAGCTCACAGAAGAACTTGGGCTTTTTCTTTGAGGCTTTGGGGTGCCTCTGGATGGTTTGAACACATAGGAGGATCTGCTTTCACTTTTGGAAGACTCCCTCTTACCACCAAGCTGAGAACGGGCTGTAAGGGGGGAAGGTAGTGTTCTCTTGGAAGCTGTTGCTGTAGCCCCAGAGGCTTGGATCAGGGTAAGCACAGTGGAGGTGGAACACAGGGGTGGGATCTGAAGATTTGCTGTTGGAAGATGGGGGTAGGGGGTGAAAATGTAAGCAGACAAAGATGACACCGGGAGTTCCTGTCTGTGTGCCCCGCATCTCATTTACTGGTGGGGAGGGCTGCAGGAAGAATAGTGGCAGGGAAGACTGTCAGGAGCTCAGTTTGGGACATGTGTCTATTTGAATTGCCTATTAGCCATCCAAGTAGAGATACCAAGTAGGTGACATTTTTAATAATTTGATTTCCCCAAAACTTAACCCAAGAAAAATACTAGCAAATGATAGTCTGCTTGCAGCTAGTTTGCTTGCAGGGATTCTGTTCACTAGCCTGCCGCCCAGCTCTCCTGGTACGACATCAGCTATGGTGGCAAGCAAAATGTCTGCAGAATTGGCTTAATTAGAGAGGTGGGTTTCCTTCAGAACTCACTTTGCTCTTTTTCTTTACCGAGGCTGTGGCTGTATTTTGGGAACCAGACAGTCACATGAAAATGGGGGAGGAGCGGAAATGGCAATCCAAAGACTCCAGATATGTAGCTGGAAGCAGTTGGATTGGATGGGTATTTTCTTTCAAATCAAGCTGCTTTGAGAGACACACAGATTTGATTTAATGTTGGTAGGCGGCCTTAAGTCCTGATCAGGGACTTTGTTCCCATGGTGAGACTTTTACCTGGTCAGAAGTTTTTGTGTGCTGGGTGCCATCTGGTGGGGTCTTTTGTTGTTTTGTTTTCTGTACTGCAGGGAGAGACAGCTGGGAGGCACCTTGGCAGAGCTGGTGAAGGGGTAGTGTTTGTGGGCTTCCGGTTGTTGAATCAGAATGTGCCCCTGGCCCCATGAACCTGAGAATTCCGCTCAGGCAAACTCTCTGGTCATCTCCTCTGAAGACTGTGTTTCTTCCCACAGCTATTTACCTGTTTGAGCTTTGGGTTCAGAAGTAAGACACAGGAAAGAGTTTTACTGCTGTTGTTGAAAGTATTTGTTGAAGAAACAGTACACATCCAAATGCTACAAAGTTATCAAGCAGGTAAATTTGAGCACATAATTTTCCTGAAAATCTGTGGTGAGCTGAGCAGATTATGCAGCTGGTTTTTGTTTACAGTTGGAAAAACTGCAGGACGAATATTTTTGCCTTCATCTTAGAACTGCCCAGACCCTGGCTTTTAATCCTCCTTTTCTCTTGACCACCCGCAACCTCTCTAGAAAGATAACAACCTATCCTTTGACAGCTTTCTGCTGCCTGTGGGGCATCAGTTAAGCAGAGTCTATGAACTTGGCTGAGGCCTGTGCTCTCCTGCCTGAAGGAACCAAGATGGTGCCTGTCTCTGTCTTTTCTCTGGGACCCTTCGTGTGCCTTTAGCTGCTTTCTTTTGTTTATCTTCTTCCCAGTGAAACAATGGCATGACCAAAACCCCTCCCCCCAACCTGCTGTTAGATTTGAAAAGACAAAAAAAAAACTTACTATTTTTTCAACACTACTTTCCTTCTACTTCTTCACTACCTTTCAACAAAGTGTTGATATCATCTGTTATTTGCCAAAGCTCTGTTCTTGCCCTCAAGGGGTTGTCTTCCTGGTAGGGTAGACAGCCAGGAAAACATCCAAGATGGTGCAGTTATTTTGGTCCAGATGTTTGACTAGATATGATGCAGAACAAGTGAAAGAGCCCAAGCTCCCATCCCTGTTCTATTAACTGTCACAATGATTCTTTGGGGGAGTATTATTGAGAAGATATTTGTGAGCATATACTAAGAGGCTGTTTGTAGTCTCCTAACCCAATTATGTGGCATCAGGATACTATAGTATGAGGAACCCAAACTCTGTGAGCGAGCAGGCTGTCTAAATTCAGATCCCAGCTCTATACTATGACTGGCTGTGTTACCGTAGCCAAGTTACTTAACCTCTCTGTTTCTTCATTTGTAAAATTAGGAAACAAAGATAGTTATTTCAGGTTGCTGTGAAGATTAAATGATGCAATTCATGTTGAGTACTTAGTGTAGGGATAAGTGCTGCATAAATGCTGGCATTGATATGGATGGAATGAGGACCCTGGGGAAGATACCCTTGAGAAGCATTTAGTGAACCCTTTTGTGGGACCCTTGAATTTTTGGTGGGAAGAGAAAAACACTCAAATGATTTCAATACACGCTTAACACACAGGTTAGGGCAGGGGATTTTTAAAAGATATTGTTAGGGTAAGTCAGAAGTTCATTAGCAATGGATTTGGCAAAAGAACCATTCATTGAGTAACTCATCCATTTTCATTCACTATGTTAGATGCTAGTGTTCCAAGGATCCCTTTGAAGTATGTGCCCAGAGAGACTTTGGATAACAGGATCATAGGTGATTTTTATTTTCTTCTTTTCCATATTTTATATGATTTTACAAAAAGTTTATAGTCAAAAGCTATGTTTTTTATTTTTATTTATTTGTTTACAAAAAGCTATTTTCTGTGCAATGTATGAGAAGCACCAGGATTATCAGATGTTAGCAGGCTGTGACTTTCTGAGTAGGCCGAACACGAAGAAATGGCAGGAACTGGATATGTTCAGTAGGGACTGGTCAGGAAAGTCGAGAGAGGCCCATCCTAGCCCCTTAGCTTGGAGTTCTTAGGCCTGTACCCTGGCAGGGGAGGTGGCTCAGCCTGCATTGGCCCATGTGGTTCCTATGTCCTGTGGCCTCTGGCAGGCACTCAATCTCACTGTCCCCGTCTTAAAATGGGGTCATACCTGCTTCCCAGTCTCGCGGATCTGT